AAGGCCCACCTCAAATATCATCCTTCTGTAAAGCCTTCTCCAGTCACCTAAGCACTTCCTCAAGCAGGTGGATATTAAACAGTCTGACAGTAACAGTCAGATTGAGCAAGCTTAGCTTATAGGATGTCATACAAATAGAACTTTTCCAATATTACACTACTGTCTTTAAAATATTATTCACTGGGATAATCTTCTAATTCCTAAAGACCTGGGAATCCCTAGTGACTTTACAGCTCTTTCCAAGTAAAGGAAAGTAATTTGTCATTTTGAAGCACAAACCCAGTCTCAGTTCAGAACTTAGAATACCCAGTGTGAGAAAGAGCCCCAGCGCCAGACTTGGTGTAATGGCACATTTGTCAGTCCTGTGGGCTGGCTGATCACAGCAGGGGAAGGGAGCCTGGTCCTCCCCACTTCCTGCCTAACATTTGTTGTTCCTTCTAGTCTTCCAAATGCACTTCTGACCACTGCATGGCCACTGGGGAAAGGGGCACAGTTTCACATGGGAGTGCAATTTTCTTCTGATGCATTCTGGATGCAACTAGTTAGCAGATTCAAGTCTCTGACTCCTCCTCTCATGGACAGTCTAGTGTCTTCCCTTTATCTGTGATGTGAGTGATTCCTCTCCCATGGCAGATCACACCAGGTCACACCTGGTTCCAGTATCTTCTCTTTGACAAGGGATGAAATGGCTCACGACCAGTTGTTCTTCCCACTGTGATGGACGTTTGGTCACAGGAAGCATTAGTACATCATTTGACCCACAGTTGCTGCTTAGGTGACACAGCTGGTCTCGTTTACTCACCATTTCCTGTGCAAGACTTTGTGAATTCCTGAAATCCGGGAGACATCTATCTAGCTCCTCCCTGGAGAAGAATTAAGAGAACAGGGTCCTGAGGTCCTAATCCCAGGAAATTCCTTATTCCTTTTGTCTCCCAGCAGTCAAGTTATCTCCCCCCCCACCCCCCACCACCACAGGTCCCAGACTGGCAAGGAACTCATCTCTCTGCTTGTGACTTTCACACAGTTAAACCCAAACTTTGAGACTGGTGAAAATCAGATAACTGAATATAATAGAATTCATACAAGGATTTAAAATGTGATAAAGCAGGCGTCAATCAATAGGAGAAAGATGGTTGTTCAATATCTAGAGCTAGGGAATTAGCTTGATTGAAAAGAAAATATAAATCCTCATTTAACATCATACGCCAAGTTGAGTTCCGTGGGATTAAATAGTTAAATATTTTGGAGAAAATTAAGTAATAAAGGAAAGAGTACCTAGAGCCAAATGTTGATTTTATTTCAGAACAGAAAAAAATGTTCTTAGTATAAACACAATTAAAGAAATTATAAAGAAAAATAGATACAAATACATACATACGAAATAAGATGTTTTGCAAGACAAACAAAATACAAAGGCAAATTTTTGAATATTTTAATATATATGATGTATGATGAACTAATACCTTATTTTATATGTATGTATAAAATTTTGTGTACAATTTTTTAAACAAAATATCTTATACAGATAATGTTAAGTATACTAGTATAATGAACAACGGTGTTCATTATTAACAAATTAAAAAATAAAACATTATAAAGATTACTAAAACCACCCCCCTCATATATATGTTTTCTACCCAGAGCTGTTCACTATTCCATATTTTTAATATTTCCTTCCTGTGTATTTTATATACCTTACTGTATTTATCTTTAACTTATAATTTATTTATAATAAAATTTTAGAAGTATAACATTCACGTGCACTTCAATAGAATTTATTTGTATTTAACTAAACTATATTTTATTTATGGTTTATTTAGCATTGATTATAACATATTTTTAACTTTCTAAATGTGAAAACGTACCCCATGTCTTTGTTACACTTATCTATATAGATATAGCTGACTCTATCTCATTTCATTTATTTTCACTATTGTATGGTATTTTAATGGAACAGTACTCACACTTTACCTATGCATTCACCGGCAGTTTGGTGTTTACCTTGCTTCCAGTTGGTGCTCTATAAATAATCCTATTTTTTGAACATTCTCACACATGCCTTTTTTGTATCCCGTGCATAGACTTAGGAGTGGAATTGGTGGGTCTTTTAGTACGTCTTGTTTTTAGCCTGACTAGTTATTGCCATATTGCTCTTCAAAGTTGTGCAAATGCATATTCTCATCAGAGGTTATGGGAATTTCCGTCCTTCAACGCTGGTTCCAATAATAAATACTGTCAGGATTTTAAAATCTTGCTAATGTGATGGATATGGTTTTTTGTTGCTTTTCTCTGATTCCTTTCAAGGTTTTTTTCATAACTTATTGGTTAGTTTTTCCCTTCTGGGAATCAATTTTTTGTGTCTTTTGCTCACTTTTCCCTTCTTTGCTTTCTTCTCATTGGTTTGTAAGGGTCTTTACATACTAATTTGTTGTCAATTTTGTGTGTTGCAAGTATCTTCTCATAATCTGTATTTTAGATTTTCACTCTTTCTGACATTATTTAATGAAGGAAGACTTGATTTTTGTATAACCAAACATTAGTTTTTCCTTTCTGCTTATGTTGTATTTGTCTCTGACATGCACTTGTTTGTATTATTTGGGGGACTCTTCCCAACCAAAAGTTTATAAGGTTATTCTATAAGATCATTTTTGAAATTTTTGAAGTTTTTAATAAATGTACGTTTTCCGTCTTAGGTCTTCCAATTATGGAATTACTTTTGTATATTGTGTGAGGTGGAGGTGTTAATTCATTGCCCAAATAGATAAACAGTTGGAACAGCACCATTTTTTGAATTGCTTACCCTTACCCCACTTTTCTGTAATCCTGCCTGTGACATGGTTCAAGTTTATTATGATTGTGAGTTGATTTTTAATTACAGTACCCTGTGACATCATTCTTTCACCAATAGCCCACAGTCCTCATTTCAGCCACTTTATATTGCTTGATATTTTGTGAGGCAAGTTCTCATGTTTTGTTCTTCTTCATGGGTATCTTGTCTATTCTTGGCCTTTTGCTGTTTTATGTTAATCGTAGAATCAGCTTGTGAAGTTCCTTTAAAGTTCCTGTGGTGATTTTATTGGAATTACATGGAATCCTTAGATTGAGTTGGAGAGAACTGACATCTTTAAGGCAATGCTGCCTTCGATTCATGGACGTGACATCTCCTTCCATTTGCTGTGGCAGACTTTAATGTCTTTCAATAGAGTTTTCCAACTTTCTCCACTTCTACATCTTTTGAGATGTCTATTCTTAGATATATGTGTTTTTGTTGTTATTATATATAGTTTTATTTTTAAATTATATTTCTAATTGTCATGGTATAACGTATGTGTTCTATAACAGCTTCAGTTAAGAAATATCTTTTCATGACTGAATATAGAACCACAAAATAATTTTAATCACTATGTATTTCTTTCCATGCTTATATTACAATCTATTATAGGTATTGCGGTTTTTTTTCCAAATTCTCATATTATAAATAGAACAGTTAACATCCTTGTGTATTGAGATAGTCATATTTTTGTGATAATATCCACAGAATAGAAGCCCTAAAATTGGAATTGTCTGGTCAAAATTATGTACACTCTACATTTTAATCATTTTACTCATCAATAAATATTATCTGAATGAATGGACCAATAATTTGCCCTTTGGAAAGGTAAAAAAAAATCCCTATTTACATTTTATCCACACCACTTTTTCCTTCCACATCTACAGTCAGTTTATAAAACTTTAAAATTTTACCTATTTGAATGAATGCATGTATTTCATAGGAGAGAACAAAATGTCTTTTTTTTCCTAGTTTTTCCAAATATTTATTGGTCATATATAAATCTAGCATTTTTTCTTGCCTATTTACCTCTTTGGTATTATTTCCATTGGGATTTTCTCCTTCTTAATTTGTAAAATATAGTTGCATATCAACTATTTTAATCTTATTCATGGGATATGTGTTGTAATTTTACTCTCAATCTGTCATTTCCCTTTCAAATCTGTTTACATGTTGTTCTTTTCCACCTGAATAGTTTTATTTGGAAGTGGATAAACATCAGCTTTTCCTTTTATATTACAGTTTTAGGGGCCAGTAGGCATAAGAAATAATCAACTACCCTTTCTTTACTACTTTAAGACTATTGTCTAATAATGTGTGTTACAAAAAAGAATTAGATGGGTGAAAAAATAATTCATGGGTTTACTTAGTGCTGGTCCAGGAGCATAAAAGTAAAATAAGACAGTGTGAAGCTCAGAGTGATTCTATAAGAATTGAATACTTTCAACAATTTATTAAGCAGCTACTGGATTATAGGTAGACACAGTCAAAATAAATTAGAAAACAAATGATCACAGTTATTTCTATAACTTTCCAATGTGAGGCATATGGCATTACTTTTTTTTTTTAAATTTACCTTCTATTTCCACTCTAGATCTCATACCTAATCCCTGATAAGAGAAGACCTAAAAGCCAATCACTTGCTTAAAAATTTTTCTCTTATTAAATTGAATACCAGTCATTGACATCATGTAGTCAAAGCAAGCAGACAAGTCCTTATGAGGTTCCAAACAAGTTGTCAACTTCTCACCGAGATCTTAATCAGACTGGTGGGTGGTTTGGGTACCACATCACTAAAAGCATGGGCTGTATGAACCCTCAGGCCAATTACCTCAAGAATCAGTGCTCAGCTCCTGAGTAAGACTTACCTATGTGAGCCAAGGAATTGATATCCTGACTGCTCCCTTATACGTAAGCCTTTTAATAACGTGAGCAGGAAGACAAGAGTCACTCTCAGGCAACATAGGGACAGACCTCTGCAGTGTAAGGTCTTCACCACATGTATCTGCAGGTTCCAGGTCTTATGCCGATGGCCTAAGTCACATGGGAAAACTATCTGTAAACTCTGAAGTCTTATGCAAATGCTGGCTCTGCAATGGACAAAAAAAGAAAAAAAATCTATTGATTGCCACAGCATGCATATAGAAATTGATTAAGGAAAATGACGATGATGACGATGATGGGTTTTGGTGTGCATAAAATGTGCAAGGCAAAGTTCTATGAACTTCAAGTATGTTATCCCATTTAATACTTCTAGTGAACTCATGAAGTAGAGGTTATTAAAGTCACTGTTTTACAGATGAGGAGACCGAGGCAGAGAGGTTAAAAGATTTGCCCTAAGTTATATCAATAGTGTCAGAGCTAGAATTCATGCCCAGGATGTCTGACTTCAGAGCCCCAAACCTAACTCCTAAATAATTCTTCCAAGTCGAGTTGATTTTAAGAGGTAAAGCAGTTTTGGAATGTGAGCTGGACACAACACACACCTAATGCATACAGCACATTTAGAAACATACACAGACACAGACACCTGTTCGAATGCACAGATACACTCACTCCCAATGACAAAGTGACTGGAACACATGTGAAAAAGCTTGGAAGCAGCTATGTTTCATTGTTCAATCTAGGAAGCCTAGAGCTAATGAATTAACATTGCAGGAGGGAGAAGGGGAGGGCGTGGACGCCTTATTCCAAGCTGGGAGCAGCTGCTCTGAGCCCCATGGAAGGAGGCAGGAAGGAGCTGCCAGTCACCACCTGTCACAGGACCTCGTGGGTGGCAGGAGGCAATCCCCTCGTGCCCAGGTCCTGACTCGCAGGCTGAAGGCAGAGCCCAAGGCCAGGATAAGAGGGCCTCAGGGTCAGAGCACCTCCATACACTCCTCTCCTGAGGTGCTGACAGACCCACTGCTGCCTGTGCACCGGTAAGTGTCCCCTGGGACTGAGAGCAGAGCCTTCCACAGAGGGAGCAGGGGAGATAGAGAGAAACAGAAAATCTAGAATTTCTGATGAAGGGGATGAGCTATGAGACAAGAGAGATAGGAGACAGCAGGCTGATTTGTGGTGTCTGTGCTCTAAATAAAATCAGTTCTGTATCTTTTTAAGTTTCTCAGGTTTTTGGTAAGTTAAACAGTTCTTCCTTTCAGAAGGAAGAGTTTACTTTGGAGAAATCAACTGTGTCCCTTCCCCAAAGCTTCTACCGGAGTCACAGTGACTCTCAAACAGTGGAACAGAGGAAGCATAAACCCAGGGTCTTGGGTAAATGCATGGGTCTTACGCCCAGCAGGTGTCGCTAGCAGGTCAGGAGCGGTGCCCGGGCATCTGCGCCAGAAACCCCAAAGTTGGATAGTGAATAATGAATAACGATAACGATAGTGGATAATGAATAACAAATTGAAATTTACGGTGCTAAGGTGTGGAGAAGAAAGGAGACTGTGTGTTGTAGAGGGTACGTAGGTAGCATAATCCAACTTGCCACAGTCAGGTCTCGCCTCACTTCTACATTTCTAGAATGATTTGGGTAACCTGCTTTATATCTGTGTATATACATATGCCAAGTGTCATCATAAAAGCTGGTTAACCCAGATATAAATGTGTATATATATATAATATGTATGTATTATATTTAATTATATGGGATAGTTTTATTTATACGATATTATATATAGTATACGATATATGATAATAATATATATCTGTTGAAAAGCTAGCTGCAAAATTCCTCCAAAAGGAGACCCTTATTTCTTGCTCAGCAACGAGCACTGTCATTCTAACCTGGCTCCTAGGTGGGACATTTTCAGAATTCGGAGTGGCGCAGAGCATGGACTCGAGTCACACTCACACTTTGTGAATGCACAGTTTGCCTTCTCCACTTAAAGGACACTAGTTTTGGGTCACTTTGTTGATACAGCTGTCCTCTGTGCTTTGTTAAGAGAATGTCACCATGTCCATTTTATGAAAAGCTCCTAGGGTTCAAATGAGATAATGTGAAAGCAATTGACAGACTATTTTAGAGATAATTTCCCCATTACGTATCTTGAACAGGCTTTTAAAAATGTAGGTTAAAGAAATGATGGTAAAACAAGGGAGACCTGCGTATCCTGGGTCTGACTCACTGTGTGACTCTCCCTCAGCTCCTGACCCTGCCAGCCGAGATGTCCTGCCAGCAGAACCAGCAGCAGTGCCAGCCCCCTCCCAAGTGTCCTGCGCCCAAGTGCCCCCCAAAGTGCCCCCCCAAGTGCCCCCCAGTCTCTTCCTGCTGTAGTGTCAGCTCTGGGGGCTGCTGCAGCTCTGGGGGTGGCGGCTGCTGCCTGAGCCACCACGGGCGACACAGGTCCCACCGTCACAGACACCAGAGCTCTGGCTGCTGCAGCCAGCCCTCGGGGGGCTCCAGCTGCTGTGGAGGGGGCAGCGGTCAGTCGTCTGGAGGCTGCTGCTGAAGTGGACCCTGAGCCAAGGAGCGCAGACTTGGGGACAGCTTTGAGTGGACAAAACCTTCCTCCTGTTCCTGCTCCCCCTGCTGGGCCTGCCCAAGGGGCTGAGTTGTCTCAGGGAAGGTTCTGAGCTCTGCGCTGGTGGGTCCCTCTGCCCTGGGATTCAGAAGGCTGAATCCTCTCCCCTAATTCCATCTGCTGACCTCTGACACCAACTGTGTTATTTGCCCTGGGATCCCCAAACCGCAGACTCTAATCCACTCCCCAGCTACTCTCCTTGCCGTCTGCTCCGTCTGCTCCTCAAATGAAACAATAAAACAAGAAATCTGCTTACCATCCTGTTCTAGACTCTTCCTGGCCTGCTTGCATCCCAGTATTTTTTTTTTTCCACCACCATGCATTCTCTTGCTGCCCAGAGATCTTGGAAATCAAATCTGTGCTAGTTGCATGGTTGGTGATGGGAGGAGGGGAGAGAAAGTGGCTCTGCCTCGTATTCTGACACCATTTCTCAGACAAATACTATGTAGCTCTTCTGGAACTTGAACTTGGACTTTCTTTGGGGTCCAGACAAGTCACCAGGGCAATGCATATTCCATTCCTCCCCTGGTCTCCTCCTCCTTCTCCATTGTGACATTGCCCCAACTCACCCTCCAATTTCTTTCTCCTTCAGTCAAAAAATTTATTTAGAAAGTTATACATGAACTTTCTACAAATAACCCATGAAGCAACCATGATGAGTTTCTAACTAGAAACATCCGTATAGCATGTGGCAAAGATTGTAAAAATTAAAAATGCCTATAAGGAATCAGGGAATTTTAAAAAATCAGTTACTTCTCCCCTTTCTCTCCTTGAGTCTTAAGTTCAGTTTTTTCAGGTCAAATATTTCATCTCTATGTTCTGTAAAAAAAATATTGATTTTCTTTTCTTTTTTTTTTAAGATTTTATTTATTTTTTTATTTGCCAGAGAGACAGAGAGCACGCACAAGCAGGGGGAGCAGCAGGTAGAGGGAGAGAGGAGCAGGCTCCCCACTGAGCAAGGAGCCTGATGCGGGACTCGATCCCAGGACCCTGGGATCAGGACCTGAGCCGAAGGAAGACGCTTAACTGACTGAGCCACCCAGGCATCCCAAATCTTGATTTTCTTATCAAAATTTTTTTCAATTACAAATTTCACATGAGATTTAATTATTGTTAGTTTTACTTTGAGTCTTTTTATTATTGAAGTATAGTTGACATGATATATTAGTTTCAGGTGTACAACATAGTGATTTGACAATTCTACGCATTATGTAATGCTTACCATGAAAAGTGTGGTTACCATCTGTCACCATACAATGTTATCACAATATTACTGACTATATTCCCTATGCTGTACTTTTCATCCCTGTGTTTTATTCATTTTATAATTATAAGTTTATACCTCTTAATCCCCTTCACCTATTTTGCCCATCTCCCACTGCCCTCCCCTCTGGCAACCATGTTTGTTCTCTGTATTTATGAGTCTGTTTTTGTTTTTGTTTGATCATTTGTTTTGTTTTTTAGATCCTACATATTACTGAAATCATATGGTATTTGTCTTTCTCTGTCTGACTTATTTCACTTGTCATAATACACTCTAGATCCAACCATGTTTTTGCAGATGGCAAGATTTCATGTTTTTTAGGATTTATTTATTTGAGGGGGGAGGGGCAAAGGGAGAGGGAGAGAGAATCACAAGCATACTCCGTGCTGAGTGTGGAGCCTGAGGTGGGGCTTGATCTCACGAACCTGAGATCATGACCTGAACAGAAATCAAGAGTTGGACGCTTACCCAATGGAGCCACTGAGGCACCCCAAGATTTCATTTTTTAATGCTTGCCTTGATAGTCATATTATGAACTGAATAAACAGCCAAAACCTCAAATTTGTATTTTAATTCATGAAAAAACACAAGTGTCTGGTGGAGTAGACAGTAGGAACCCATCATGACTGCTGAGATTAATATGACCTCTAGATGTCCCTGTGTCTTTAGTCATTCAAGATTCAAAGTCCCACGAAGAATCGTCCATATTGCTGATCCTCACCATGTGTCTGCCCCTTGGCTATTCCAGGAAGCTAGAAGAGGGATGTATATTCCCTTGGTGTCAGTAACAAGAGAACTCGAACACTATGCATATTGGGGGATCCCTTCCAAAAACGTCAACTAGTATACTAACAGGTATGCAGTTGATTGTTGGCCAAAGTGACACATGACCACCATGTTTTCTAAGTGGGAATTCTCAGGCAATAGGATCCTATATTTCTGAGAATGTAATATTCCAGTTGAGACCAGGTCAAGTGTTCTCTCTCCTCCCTTACACTGGATGCCTCCTAAAGTCCAGTGCTATAAATATCTACTTCACACTAGATTTCCATGAAAGCAGAGGTTGTGTTTCCCTACAAAATCATGAAGATTTTCTCACATATTTTCTTCCAAGGGTTTTATATTTTTAGCCCCTCAGTTAGGTTTTGATCTGTTTTGAGTTATTTTTCTAAATGTTGTAAGTAGGGGACAACTTCATTCTTTTACATGTGGATATACAGTGTTCCCAGCACCGTTTATTGAAAAGACTATTGTTTCCTCAGTGAAATGTCTTGACACCTTGTCTGGAATCAATTGACCATATATTGATGGGTTTATTTCTGAACTCTCAATTCTCTTCATTGATTAGATCCAATTAGGTCCAGGCCCCATTACAGGGTTAGTTTTTGAGGGAGTCTTTGAAGCTTGTTCTGAACCCAGGAGGGCTCTACTTAGCCCTCACTTTCTTGGTTCTCTCTGGTAAACTAGTTGTCAGCTGCTCTTGGTCAGCATATTGTTGTCATGGATCAGCAAGCAGCCTCTTCTTAATTGCTTGCCAATAACATCTCCCTTATTTTCCAGAGTGCTTTTAGGTCTGAACTTACCCAAGCTCTGTTCTGAATAAGGGCAGTTCCTTTGGTGAGAACCTCAGAGTCCTCTGCTCTTTTGGCCTGCCCCTTCCTTTGGTCAAAATCTCTGAGCCACTGCTCTGGAGCTGGGGGTGGGGACATTTGTCTGCTTCTCTTGGAATGGCATCCTTCCTGTATAAGTAGGGTGTTATACTGGGGTGGAAACCTCTAGTCTTCTTAAATTGCCTCTCCACCATGGATTTTCTTTTTTTTTTAATTTTTTATTGTTATGTTAATCACCATATATTACATCATTAGTTTTTGATGTAGTGTTCCATGATTCATTGTTTGTGCATAACACCCAGTGCTCCACGCAGAATGTGCCCTCTTTAATACCCATCACCAGGCTAACCCATCCCCCTACCCTCCTCCCCTCTAGAACCCTCAGTTTGTTTTTCAGAGTCCATCGTCTCTCATGGTTCGTCTCCCCGTGCGACTTACTCCCCTGCATTCTTCCCCTCCTGCTATCTTCTTCTTTTTCTTTTTTCTTAACATATGTTGCATTATTTGTTTCAGAAGTACAGATCTGTGATTCAACAGTCTTGCACAATTCACAGCGCTCACCATAGCACATACCCTCCCCAATGTCTATCACCCAGCCACCCCATCCCTCCCACCCCCCACCACTCCAGCAACACTCAGTTTGTTTCCTGAGATTAAGAATTCCTCATATCAGTGAGGTCATATGATACACGTCTTTCTCTGATTGACTTATTTCACTCAGCATAACACCCTCCAGTTCCATCCACGTCGTTGCAAATGGCAAGATCTCATTCCTTTTGATGGCTGCATAATATTCCATTGTGTATATATACCACCTCTTCTTTATCCATTCATCTGTCAATGGACATCTTGGCTCTTTCCACAGTTTGGCTATTGTGGACATTGCTGCTATAAACATCGGGGTGCACATACCCTTCGGATCCCTACATTTGTATCTTTGTGGTAAATACCCAGTAGTGCAATTGCTGGATCGTATGGTTGCTCTATTTTCAACTGTTTGAGGAACCTCCATACTGTTTTCCAGATCCACCATGGATTTTCTATCCTACAAATGAGCTGGGGCAAAGGTGATCAGGGTCCCAGTATTGTAGGCCTGTTGCAGCTGAGGTAGAATCATTGCCTGCCTCTCCAGTGGGAGGTGGGTGGAAGAAGAGAGCTCCCATGTCTTGGATACTGTCTTGGGGTTTACCCTCTGCAATGTAGAGCTGGAGATGTTGTGCAAAATGTTGGCTTTTAGTTGTTACTGAGATTTAGTAGATTTTCTTGAATAAAAGTTTCTTCATTTGTGGGGCACCTGGGAGACTCAGTCAGTTAAGCCTATCCTTTGCTAGTGACAATTTCTTCTACTGAGATAGAAACCAAGCATTGAGACCCAGTGGTCTGTCCTCATGATGTTACTTGTAGCCTTGGGTACAAGTCAGGATCGTGGTGCTTTGGCTACAGTCCTACCTGGAGGAAAACTCTAGGGCTACAAGACCTCTTGGCATCTCGTCCTAGAGGGGAGGGCTGAGTTCTGAAATAAGTACCTGTGGTAGTCATGGTATAGATTTCCTGAACACTGTTTCCAACTGAATTCTTTGGCACAACCTAAATAAAAATATCGTAGTATTCTGGAAACATAGTTGAAGTGTCCACAGTGTGATACAGACAACCCCACTTCACTGTAAGTGTCTGATTTTGTCATGGTCTGAGGTTCTTATTCATCTTAAATTAATTGACTCAGGACATAACATATGGAAAGCATTCTGTAAACTCTTTCTGCAAATACTGGTGATAGGGATTTTTTTTTATTGAAGGTAAAAATATTTATTTATTTTTTAATTACTATGTTCAACTAGCCAGCATTAGTTTTTGATGTAGTGATGTAGTGTTCAATGATTCATTACTTGCGTATAATACCCAGTGCTCATCACCACACATGCCCCCCTTATTACCCATCATTCGGTTGCCCCATCCTCCCACCCCACTCCATTCTGTAACCCTCAGTTTGGTTCCCAGAGTCCAGAGTCTCTCATGGTTTGTCCCCATCTCTGATTTCTTCCCATTCAGTTTTC